GAACCTCCATGCGCAGATTTCGTGGCAGGCGCAGCACTTTGTGAACCCCATGTGCAGATTTCGTGGCCACAGGGGCCACTCTGCGGGGTCACCCTGGGCTCTCACTAGAAAAAACACACTTGTTTAATTGCGTGCGGATGTGAATGCGGTGCCACACGCCGGCCTGAGGTTGGAGGTCATCGCAAGGCCGTTGGAGGTATGCACAAACAAACACAAGTGACAAGTAGCAGGTTAAAGGCCATCGCTTTAAGGTTGGAGGCCATCGCAAGGCCGTTGGAGGTCAACGCCCAAGGTTGGAGGCCGTCGCTAGTAGGTGGTGGGTAGTATGCACAAGCAAACAAAGTGACAGCGAGAAGCAAGGTTGGAGGTCGTGGCTAGTGGGTTGGAGGCCATAGTACCAGGTTGGAGGCCAGTGCTACAAGTTTACAAGAAGCACAGCCAAAGTTAGGGGCCAATGCTAGTGGGTAGAGGCCAAAGAGTTCGGGTTGAAGGTCCATGTTACAAGGTTGGGGGCCTACCTGCAAACCTATAGAGTAGACTAGAGGAAAACAGAAAGGAAAGGCACCGACACAGAAGTGTGTCGAGTACCATTTCCTCCTGCTTTCCTAAATAGCAGAGCAGGTACTCAGTGGGGCGTCCCCCACTGCATCAGCACCAACTGATACCCTCTTCGTTGGACGGGCAGTATCAGCGGTGACCCGTTGCCCTGCTCCAAACCGAAAGGTTGCCTGTGAGTCCAAGGGTTACACACACACACACACACGATCTCCGCACGTTTCGCAAGCCCTCCCCCCACCTAAGAAAGAATAGATAAAGAGCCGAGATGTGTTACACACACGCGAACAAACACATGCTATATTCTATGCTAACATATGTTTACTTTTGCATATGTGTTTACTGAATCAAGACCCCAGCGAAAGTCATACTTGATTTGCATATGCCTTTACTTAAACAAGTCTCCAGCAAAAGTAGTGCTTGACATTGGATTTGACTTTACTTATATAAGACCCCAGCGAAAGTTATTCAAGCAAGATTCCATCATCGAAGCAACTCACCCCAGCAAAGATCCCAGCACCAAAGCAAATTCACCCAAGCACAATCCCAGCACCAAAGCAATTCACCAAAGCAAGATCCCAAAACCAAAGCAATGCTGCACAACCATACCTGCAATCTTCCGATGCACTTGTGGCATAACAACTGTAGCATACATACAACTGCGGATATAACTTGCAAATGTACTACCACCTCCATAGCAGCAGCTCTACAAGACCAGACATGCAAGCTGCAAATGTACTTCCAGCATACATACAAAAATCCCAAATGTCATGATGCAGATATCTTACGCAAAAAATGTTCACAGAAAAACTCTTCGCAACGCTCGCGGGAATAGTGACCATCTTGTACCGACTGTTCCTGGTAATGGGCTACACCCTAAGTATACTGTATTTTTACTCACTATCTAAAGAGGTCTTCGCATGGTAGTTATCCCAAAAAGGGTTAAAGCCGGTCCAAAATACTTTGGGCTGTGTCATCATGTATCCATTGGGCTTGCTGGCAGTGCTGGCAGGTGCAAACAAGACCTCTTTTGGCCTTCTATTGAAGACCACATGTCTATTATATCTCTTAGTCCTTTTAGTTTTTACCACTTTGTGCCCACTTCATACCCGGGCAGCCAGGCGTGTCGGCCTCATTGAAATCCCGTTGCCTGGCGCAAAGAACAAACTGGGGCGATCAGAATAGAACAAAGTATCAGAAAACAGAAGAACTTTGTAATTACACGTAAAGTATATTAAAGTGTTTCCAAAATCCTTTCAGTTTGAATATTTTTGAATGATTCGCACAGACTGAACTACTTGCTCCTTTATGCCGGTGCACACCAGTGCAAATGCGAAACTGCGACTGGAGACCGTCTCAGACTGCACCTGGATATTTGCTCATGTCGCTCCTGAAAGCGCTTCTGCCTTGGGAAGTGCTCATCCTGACAGGAGCAGGATGCCATGTATACAATGCTCTGTGCCACAAGATTCTCCACTGAGAATAAGTAGGATGATAACTTCGTTGCAGTCACCACACACCGCCACAATGATGTTGCCAACAACGTCCAAGTGGGTTGGCGGGAAACTGCCACATGAGGGTGGTGATCGAGCGTCTATTTAAGGAAGACTTCGATGTTTTCAGCTCAAGGCACTTCATAGCGCTAAGCTCGCGAAAAGGGTTTGGAATCCAGTAAACTAAACACAACAAAATCTTGCCGCTTTATTCCGCTTTACAGGTATCATACACGCAACAGAATTTAGCCCCCTCGTGGTTTTCTATCACCCTGATGCCTGTCGCCGGGGCTTTCGGCGCCGGAACACCTGGCGCCGGAACACAAAGCTACGGAAGCGGCTGCTTCTTGTCACCTCTTTTTTGGAGGGGAGGGGCCGGGAGGGTGTAGTAGCTTATAGGTATAGCCTGTATGGCCTTTTAAGTAAGAATGGTTGCTACATGTTGCTATTACTAGGCTTAACTAGCTACTAGATGCTACTAGTATGGACCCAAAAATGCTCACGCGTCTTCAAGGAAGCTCCCCCCGTGCCTGATTGCGGGAACCTTAACCCAAAAATCAATCATCTCCGAATCATCTCCTTGAAAAACAATGTCCCAAGTCCAAAGACAAAACATGCCGTGTGGCTGAGACGATCCTATGATTGATTTGCAAGTCGTCTATCGAGTTTGGAATGTTAAAGAATCGGACACGTCTGACGACCAATTCGCCTAATGTACAATTCCACTGTTGACCCATAGTTTGCTATACTATGCGCTATTAGCATTTAACGCGCCCGCCCATGCTGAGCACCTCCATCTCCAGAACAAATCCGGCGAGGCTCTTCAAGAAATCTTGTGCTCAATTCCTTTCTGAGTACCTGTGATCCTTAGCAAAGCTTGTTTTTTTCATGCATATGTGATTGTCTGCTGCAAGTGCCTCTGAAGGATACCCCATCTCTTGTGGCAGTTCCACTCGGGGTAAACACGCTACAGGGTGTGATTGACCATGCTCTACCGATCTAATTATCAAGCTTTGATAAGGTAGTCAAAGTACATATTCAGCCTTTCAGCTCCTGGGCTGCAAATGGCTGCAGGAATTCACGATGCAGTCCGCAAAACTCAACCACACGGTGAACACACCCATGAAATCCCATGAACATGCCGTCGGAACAAGGGTCCTGTTGGTCGTATCAACAGCTTCTCACAGCACGCTGTTCCACCTTCATGTCCATACGATAGAAATGGAATTCATGACCCTTGCTCAACCAACTACAATTCCACCCTTCTTTTCTCTTGCTCAACCAACTACAATTCCACCCTTGTTGTCTGGTGTCTTGGCCATGATGATCATGATGCGTATGGATTGTTTTTGACGGGTGATGCATGCGGGTGCACTGGGTATTTGCAGTTGGTAAGTTGGTGCCTTAAATTACAACGGCGAAACCTGCCCGTCGAAGCCACCCCCTGCATCTAGAAACCGTTTTGTAGAGCAAAGTGTCCTTGAAGAACCCTTGCTGTGCCTAACCCCTGGTTGACCCTTTGGCCTCCAGCCTACTAGCGATGGCCTCCAACATACTAGAAATTGCCTCTAACCTACAACAGATGGCCTACAAGATGAAGTTGTAGTTCTGTGACTCATTCTTTGTGGTGCATGGCTTGGTCCCTTCACTCTTGGTAAAGCCGGGGCTTTGGGGCTTTGAGGCGCGCAACCTGCAGGCCCAGGGTTTGTCCAGAAAATCTCTTTGGCAACCAGACACTCTGTGGGTGTGCAGTTGGAGACTGTGCTTCATAGCAAGCATTTGCTTGATTTGTATGTCCAATTTCTAGTAGTCTTAGAAGAGTGCCCACTCAGATTGTGAGTTACTGTAACTTCCCTCCCAGCTTCCCTCCCAGCCCAAAACTCTTTCTGGGCACCTTTTGCCGAACATCGGAGAAACAACAGTCAGCCTTCAAGGGGCATCTATCAAGCAACTTTTGTGACAAATGCTCTAATCAGCGTAATTAAATGTGTTTGAAGCTCCGTTTCAAAGGAAGAGCTTCCACTGTGCCTTCTCGGTATCGATTCGGCTGCGCATGCCGGCTGCTGCAACCGAGCATACTGCCCGAGCTTTTCTCACTGGGAAGGAAAGAAGGGGGTGCATAAAGAAATTCTGCAAATTATGTTTACTGCCTAGCATGTTGTGCTTTGCAAGTTTTATGAACGCCGCATTTTCGCTTTGCAGGACATCGGTTTGCACCAAGAATAGGTTTGATGAACCTGCCAGTGAAGCAGTTCTTCACGAACTGTGTGAATA